AAAGATTTTTCAAAAATAAATAAAAGTATTAATATAACGCATAAAGCGGCGTCTACAATGAAATTATATATATACACAGGATGTGTCGCCCCTGAAAGTTTTTGTCAATCGCTTTTGTGTAGATAGAGCGGACTAAATTGAGTCCTCTACCATTTGCAATTTTCGCAATAGTTAACAAGATATTAATTATTAAAAATTGTCAAATATTGATGAATAATTTTTTATTCAAATATTGTCAACTTTACAGAAAAACTGCAAGAGACAAAAATCTCATTAATTTTCTTCTCATAGAACTCTAAGAATTTTTTTTTTCACAATTTTTTATCAACTTTTTAGTACTACATTTTCTTATTTTTACCAACATGAGAAAATACGATATTAAAAAATTCTGAAAAAATTTTGAAAAAGAATTTCTCAGAACTTTATGAGAAGAAAATAAATAATTTTTGTCTCTTGCAGCTTTTCTATAAAGTTGATAGTATTTAAGTAAAAAAAATTATTTAAGACCAATATTTGATAATTTTTAGTAATTAATATCTTGTTAATTGTGAAAATTGCAAAATGATAGAGGTCTTTTCTACTCAGTTTAATCCGCTCTATCTACACACAAAAGCGATTGGTAAAAACTTTCGGGACACCCTGTGTATATATATATATATATATAACGTAAAACCTAAACTTTAAGCCTCAAGCCTAAAAAGTTGACCAATCATAATCAAATGTGAGGAAAATAATCGACTATGATTGTCAATTTCTTATGGTTTAAGATTTAAAGTTTAAATTTTATATCTTAAAATCTAATTGTAAGATACTTTGCAACGTTATGCAAAAGTCTGTGCTGTGGCATTAATTGATTTAAGGAAACAAAACAAATAACGGTACAGACATGATACAGAAATATACAGCAAAGTAATAATGATGTGATTAATTGAAAAACTTTTCTGAAAATCTGCGTAATATAATATATCTTTAGTGCAATATTCTATGTGGCTACTTGCATAACATTTTTAACGCAGAGCATGCTCAACAAAGTAATATGATTGCTAATTTAAATTAATTCTCAGTTCAACGAGACGATAAAAGCATTTCCACATGTCGCACGCAATGGCAAAACCGACACTGATGCATTCAAGGTTCATGTATCGTTTCAACGATAATGTATATAAGCGTATTTTGCCAGTCACAAACGTATGTGTCGCTAACATAGTACACATTTCTCGCGTCTCGATAAAGTGTCGTGTACATTTAACAAACGCATACACAAATGTAGACACAAAGAACACGCAGGCTAAGAAGTCTGTAGTGTTACTTTCCTCTCTCACCTGCTCCATGACCTCGGGCGCCATCCAACAAGGCGTACCGACGAAGGTGTGCCGAACCTTCTGCCGGCTCAAGTCACGTCCGGTCGCGAGCCACGCGCTGACACCAAAATCGGCGATCTGCACTGTGCCATCCTCGCCTAGTAGGATATTACCCGCTTTTATGTCCCTAATATTATTCTGCCGTTAAAATTTGTCTAGATACGTAGAGAAAATAAAAGAGTTATATCTGTAGGATGCTTACTAAAATTTTACAAAAAAAAAATTCCTCTTGAAAATTCCTGAATTTTTTAGATATTTTTATTTAAAATTCCAGGTAAGATTAGTAAATTTTTTAACTTTTTTGCAACTTTAAAATAAACTGCAATATAAGCAAGGCAAACAAATTATACATTGTAAATTAGTAGAAGACGGGGATTTTTTACAAGACTATATAAACAAAAAAAAAAGAAGAGATCAAAGAAACAATATTTTACATAGAAAAAATACAATTTTTAAGTAAAATTTCAAAAATTTTCCTTAATACTGATAAATCTTTAAAAATTCTTGATTTTCAAGGATAGAAAAGAAATTCCCTGAAAATTCCAGGTTTTTAAGCTTTTCGAAGTATAATAAATATTTTGTATACAACCTATTTGTATTTTTTAAATAATACAATTGCACTCTAATGATTAAACAATGTAAATTGAAAAAAAGGAAACAGTTGTACTGTTTTAAGATTGTAAATAAAAATAGAATGGCACGGGACAAGCGTATTTCATAATACCTGTGTATCTGTCCGTTGCTATGGAAATATTCAAGTCCCTTGAGTACTTCTCGAAGTACTGTAGCTATAGTGGCCTCATCGAATACTCCATGCTTGCAATTAGTGGTTCTGGTTTTATGCTTGATAATATCCAGCAGAGATCCACCTTCTAGCAATCTTAAGACCAACCAGAGTTCCTCTTTCACCACAAACGATGTGTAGTACGTCACGACGTTTTCATGGTTGCAAGAAGACATCGCCTGTATCTCTTTCTAATATTTCGCCATATAAAAAGTCTCGATTAACAATAACTTCTTATATAATAATAATAATAATAATAACAACTACTTGTCTCTACGTTAACCTTACATTTACAATCTGGGTCTTTTTTGGCATAAGCGAATTCACTGTAAAATTTTTCCAAAGGGAACATAAAAAAAGAATCCGAATTTCTTATTATATATATATACAAATTTTTATTCTTCCACATTTTTACTGAAATTTAAATTTTTATTAAATTAAGGTTTTAATGTTTGAGTTAAAAAACCAAGATTGCAGAACGAAGGAAGTAAAACTTGATTGCAGATAGATGGTCAAGTAAAATAAAATTTTCCAGTTTAACTTTATTCGTGAAAAAGGATTTATTCGAAGATAAATTTATCTCGAGACTACATTTTTGAAATAACATTTCGTTGAGATACGAATGATTAGCAGCACCATCGTGCTCAATACGAAAAGCTTGCATCATGCTGGATGCAGCATACGTTGTAATCGATAAGCTCGTTAATCCAATGAATCATACAATATATAAGTCTTATCAAAAGAGTTGCAGATGTATGTCATATTGATTTCGTCGCTGCGTGAAGTTCAATGTCAAGATTACAACAAAACTCACCAATAGCTCGTCCATGTTTGTGTTCCATTTTTCCAAGTTTATTCGCTTGATCGCGCATTTCTCTTGCCGCGGAATGCAAAACGCCGCGTGCACTACAGCTGTCGCTCCAACCCCTTAAATTTTAATAAAAAGAAATTATTAAAAGAAAGGACCTTGCACTAATCATAAAAAAGTGCTTTCAGTCGAATTCAATCGAAGCTGAAACTGTAATATTTTGTAAATTATGGGATAATTAAAAGTTTTCTCATTGTTAGACAAAACCATAAAAAATGATCAGACTGTGCTCTAGTGTCTAACGTCATTTGAAAGTTGCTATTTTGGGTATAATTGCACTAAAAAGTCTCTTTATTTACTAAACTATTCACTTTGACAATTGTACTTCAATAAACTCTAATTAACAGTACTTTTATGCATAGAATAACATGAAATGAATCAATTAATGTAAAGTTGTTTTTTTTTTTAAAAGTATGTATCTCTCTCTCTTTTGTCAATTATAACTCATGTCATTATTTTATGCATAAAAGTATTAAGATACAGTTACCAAAAAATAATAGATAAAGATAATTCTTAAACTAATTAGATTCAGAATAGGAATTTTTAAATGGCGCTAGAGCAAAATCTATCCATTTTTTTATGATTTTGCTTCAGGAAACTTTCAACTAAAACCACTTTTTTCATATAATTAGTGCGGAATCTTATGTCATTACTGTTTATCCGGCTATCGACGCACAAATCATAATATTTTACGAAATGCTTCATTAAATCTCCGTGAGATTTGGAAACTCGACTGTACATCTATTTATAAATATATGCAGCGAATATATTTTAGAGTGGCTGAGAGACGTTTAAATTTTAAGCCTCGATATTTTTACTCGTTACATAGGCAATTTATGATTTTAATAAAAAATTTCGATGAATTTTCTACATGCCGTAAAATGCGGTTAAAAACAGTGCGACATTAGCGTTGGCAAGTTGCTAAATAATTTAACTCCGCTAACTTGCAGCTGATCTTCTTACACAAATATAATACACAATCGGCGAAACGACAGGAAGAAATGTAAAGTTTTTTCAAGTTTTAAATGGTTTAATAACATAAAAAGTTATATCATTCCAAATATTAATGTATACTAGCGAATAATAGTATATATATCAAATCCTATTATATCAAAACATTTAGTACCTAGTTCTATCGCGAGACTTCTGTCATCTCAAATAATCAAAACAAACCCAACGAAAAATGATCTTTAATCAATGTCAAGATCATCATATCGGTGTTGGTTGTTTGATATCAATTTGACAAGTTATTTTTCGCTGGAAATTCTTCATAGAAAGATTTTTCAAATATTTATGCGCCCCTAAAATATCTAGGTGTAAGATACACAGAAAAATACTATACGCAGATAATAGTTATTCGTTTTAAATATTTCAAAAGTTCATATATCTGCAAATGTATTATTATCATATATAAGTCATAATCATTCACACACATTTATCCAAAATATATTCTGAAAATCCTAGTTTAATATTTCTAAGTTTATTACTTCAATTAAGATTATTAAATTAAAATAAATTCGATTTACTTATTACATAAAATTAAGTTTGATAAAATTTTATAATTCTTAAAAAAAAAAAATAAATTCTTGTCTTCAGTTAATAATAATAAATTTTAAAAAATCTGCAATAAATATATTTTAAGATTATTGTCATGAAAATACGCTTTGTTAAACATAACTGTTACTTAACAAGAAAAAAAAAAGCAAATTGAATCAATAGAATATTTTTCTGTGCAGGATGTCTCATAAGAATTCATTGAAATTAATTAGTTATTATTTTTAAACGCACATAGAAAATAGCAAAGATAAAGTATGTTTTAAGACTCCTGAATATACTTACCTCGGCCATATTGAATCGTGACGTCATAAGCAAGAAATGTGTGATAAACGACACGTTGATTTTTCTTATATGCTCTTTACAGATAAAAACAAATTGAATACAACAGAATAATGAGATCGCTATAAGACACTTGTAAAAGTTGGCCGAAACTATCATTCCCCTGATAGTCAGTAAATAGTCATAAAAGCCATGCAAAGTGCGTTTACTAGGTTTTTTACCAAGGTTTTTACTCAATACATAGCCTATTTTCACTTCACGAAGTTTTTCAATTATTTGATGACTGTCGGGGGGGGGGGGGGATACGGATAGTTTTGGCATTTTTATAAGTGTTTCACAGAGATCCGTTTTATCCAAATCGTTTTCATTTACAAATAACATGCAAGAAAAATCAACTAAAATTTCTCATTTATGACATCACGATTCAATATAGCTGAGTTGAGTACTCAGGAGCCTTAAAGTTCCGTAGTAGTCATCGTAGCCATGTTGTATGTCATTTGTCAATAAAGAGAATTTGAGTAAAGCAAAAAATAAGATCGCTTTAAAAATAGATCGAAATTATCTTTACTCAATCTGACAATTAATAAATATAGTCATTAACATCCATGTTTTTCTTCGAGTCATTATGCAATGTCGTCACATTTTTATTAAAAGTGTCTTAAGTAATAAATATTTCGTAACTTTGAATCTAGAATCAATTCAACGACATTTTAACAAATGTAATTGTCAAGTTTTAAACTTAAATATTGATTATTAATCAAATTATTGTGTAAAATGTAACTGGGATGCCATAATACCACTCCTTTATATGCGTTTAAAAATGACAGCTGATTAAGTGTCCCAAATATATTGGCAATTCAATTTTAAATTGCTTTTTTGAATATTTAAATTATAAGTATTAATTGTATTTAATTTTACTTATTTTTCTTCAAATAACGTTTCACTAAAACCAAACTTTAATTTCATAATTAAACAAAATTTCAATTTGGAAAATTTTGATTTTTATCCAACTCACGTTTATTCTTATTAAGAAATGTAATAAGAGTTATACCTAGTAGAGAATACCTAGTTATGGAAATAATTAATAGTAATTTTTAATTAAAATTAATAGAAAGTGACATTCAAACTGTTAAGTAATATAGGCTTGAAAATAAAAAAATATTAAATAAATTATATATATATAACTATAATATAATTATAGATAATTATAGTCAGTAATACGTTCAGGTGTTGCTGTTCTTAATACTGTCAATAATTTTACGAACATGAATTTAAATATGAACATAATATACTGATATGATATTGTCGCATCCTCGCGATATCTTAACTCCCTCGCCATATGTAGGTACAATAATTGACTTAGTACTGTGTTTATTTAGATATATATATATATCTAGACTCAAATATAACATTCTTAAGTACATCATCTTTAATAAAAGTGATGCTTAATATAAAGATAATTTAATTACATACATATACCCCAGCAACTTATGTATACCAAATACCTACTGTACAGGGTGGGCCATCTATTGGTACGTTTTTAAAAATGCGATCAAATGAGCATACATTGATATTTTTTATTAATTTTTTTTTTGTTGTGAAGCTAAAAGTATCCGCGTCAAGAATGAAAAACGATTTCGTTCATGTGGCTCCCTCTACTGGCCTTACAGTATGCCATTCGGTCACCCCAATTCGGTCACGAAATTCAAAAACGTACCAATAGATGGCCCACCCTTTATAACATGCATGCATGAAATACGTAAATACACAATACGTTTTACATCTATGTTATATGTAGAACTATTAAATAGAACTTTCACACACATAATAATAATTATGCGTGTAATTAATTTCTTATTATATAGAATATCGTCTTATATTTCGATTTATTGTCTGGATATTATTTACAGTCGTGTTTTAGGTACATGCAAAATTATAATCTCGAAAAACTATAACCTCAAAAGCTGAAAACTAAGATATCTCGAAATTTGAAATTACTGAAAATTAAGATAATGTTCCAAAATCTCAAATATGCGACAATGTCCTGAAATGTCAATTATCAAAATTTAAGATAACAATGTATTTCGAAAAGTTATAATTTCAAAAATAGAAGTATGAAAAATAGAAAATAAAATTTTTTCTTCTAATAATTTACTATTACACTAGCGTATAACAGTAAATTATTAGATATCATGTATATGTACAAGTGAAAAGATGTTCTTTGTAATATAAAAATGTAATAAAATTTTGCAAAATTTAAAATGTTTTATTTGGGAGATATGGTAGTGTCTCGGCACTAAGAGAATCATCTTAAGCGAGAACGCAAGACCGTCTTAAGTATAATCTTAAGATTATAAGCCAATCACAAAGCCGTGTTAGTATCTTTAAACATTACTTATGAATCGATCTATGAATATTAGCACATTGTAAAACATTAAAATGTATCATACATTTCAATTTTATCCAAAATTTTATTAGATTCTCATAGATGAAGGATATATGCTATTATCAAAATTATTAAAATAATTAATACCATTTAAAAATTTGTTAATATTTCGATATTTAATTGCGGTGATTCTTATTGATACTTTTGATTGGTTTGTGATATACTTATTTTTTTTAGAATTAGATGAAATGGAAGGATTTATATTTATTTTTAATCTAATCTCTGTTGAGTTGTTTTTGTTAATTTTTTAGATTAACTTTAATTTAGATTAATATCTATCAGATGAAAAGAGGCCGATGATACGATCACTTAATTGCCAGAATTAAAGGGAATGTTGGAATTGTCGGTATTAGGCTGGAATCAGACTACACATATGCACGCATTGAAGATTGAAATTTGATCAATGAGAAAGAAAAAATGTTAGCTCTTTTCTTTTCTTCAATCTCAATCAGCTACAAAAAAGTAAAAAAACTTTGATCAATTAAAATGTTATCAGCCAAATATATACTCAAAGTTTAAAAATTTCTTAATGTATCAATAAATGGACCATTTATCCTATAATTCATAATTCTGTCATTGGCTATATTCAGCAGAAAAAGCAGCTTCACAACTGTTGTAAAATTTGTCAATGATGATTGGTTTATACATTTAGATGTATAAGGAATTAATAAGGTTAGAAATAACCGTATTAAAGAATTTTACAATAGTTGCAAAGCTGCTTTCTCTGCTGAATACGCAATTATTTTTTAGTTGCTCGTAAAAAAAAAAGAACAAAAACATAAAAAAAATATAATTTTAAATAAAAATAATTTTAAACGTACATACTTTCATTCCTTTACATTACAATTTGATACAATCAGTTACTGTATCAAAATTGTATTTCAAAATTACAATTACAAAATTTTAATGATTTAATTTAAATATTTAAACTGATTTTTTGAAAAACTGCCGAGTTCCGTTCAGTGTGTAACTGTAGCAAATTGATTGCCAGAATTATTACATCGTGAATCGAAAGAGAAATTTGTTTTGCCAAAACAATATCGTTCGTTCTTCGTAATTCTTTCCAATTTCATATTTTCAGGAAAAAAATCTTGAATTTTGTATCACGCAAATTGCTTAACGTACAACTTTGCTTGTCTAGCGCCCTGTTGCCCCCCTAAATCTCGGTGCGTGCAAACGGCACTAGCACGCGCGAATCGTCGCAACCGTCTTCGTCTTGTTCCGCAGCGGCAGGTTAACTAGGTTAGGATAGGATAGGATAAGATGTGCTATGACTTTCTCGTGCAGTAATACGAATAGCCGCGTGACAGCGTGAGTGCGAGAAGGATACGAGGAATGAGAGTAAAAACTGCAATTGCCAAACTGTCATCGTGTCGTCCTGCAGCGGGGGAAAAAGTTTAGAGCGACGGGAACGATCGAATGACGCTCGACCGACGAGCAGTAGAATGTGCGAAACGGCGATTCTCGCTTCGCAGATATCGTCATTATTATCCTCGTCGTCCCGTGGCGCCTTATTGCCAGGAAGACGATGGGCCACCACCAGCCCGTTCGATGCCGGCGACGGCGGTGGCGCGCGTCTTCGTGGTCGCGAGCGATGTCGAGTAAGGTGCGCGCGATCTTCCATGTATTCGAACAACGCGATCGTCACCTCGAGCTGACGAGTCCCGCACGGTGGCGATCGGTACTCACCGATAACCTCCTTCAGCTCGTAATCGTCCTTGGTATTCGGCCAGCCTTGCACAACCGTGGAAGTGCTCGCGGTCGCCATTTTGCTGGCCAGTGCCGTACCGAGGCGCGCGTGCTTACTGGCTGCTCGGGCGCCCCGCGACAGCGACGACAGCGAAGCTGTGCTGACAGTCCGCGAGCTGCCGTCACGTGGTGAAACAGCCGCGGCGGCGGCGGTGGCGGCGGTTGGGCTGGAGACAGTGGGGGTGGTCGCGCGAGAAGCGCAGCGATCGTTGGTCGCAGAAGCAGGCGCGCCTCGGCTGTTTCGGCTGGTTGGCGGTACCTTCGGCGGCACTTTCGACGGCGCGGCCGGCGTGGACGTGAACGTGGACGTGGAAGTGGACGACGACGAGCGAAATGACTTCTGGCGAAACACGCCGGGCGCGCACGACGGCAGCACGTCTGGCGAGATCCTCCTGGAAGGAGATACGCAATTAGATTGAACAAAATAATTTCTGCGAATTCGACTATCAATTGAGCCTCCCAGAATCAACTTTACTCACTGCTTTCCATTTATATCTATTTCTATATAGATTAATTTTGTATAATTTCGGTTTACCTCACTTTTTGTCTTTTCCTAGTTCTAATAATTAGATGAAGGGTAAATTAAACCGAGAGATTATAAAGTTAATCTACAATACTTTAGAAGAAATGAACATTAGTCGGTACAAACAAACGTTATCTTTCTTCGCATTTAGAGAACGATAAAGATAGGACACTTGGGTCATCAAATGGAAAGCATTTATTTTTGATAAAGCAGAAAATACAACTTATACTTTTTCGCGACCGTTCGGAGATTTATTTTATTTACATATTTTTCTTCATAGAAAATAAAAATAATAATGACGCTACACTCGAGGAAAAATTGGTATCTTAAAATAAAGAATAAACCCTACTGAAAAAAATCATGTCACAAAATCATGTTGCACGATGAAATCATATAATTAAAACATGTAAATCACGTACGGATTGTTCCTAATCACTATGTGATTTTTTCAAAATATTAGAAATCCATCATGAATTCCATCATATGATTTTATAGTTGTCGAATTTTAAAGAATTAAATGATAAAAATAGAAGAAAAAAGAATTTAATATCATGTGACTTTTCAAATTATGTAATTTTAAAAAATTACGTACTGATATGAGACAATCTATTATGTGATTTACATGTTTAAATTACATGATTTTATTATGCAACTATATGATTTTTTTCAGAAGGAAAGTTTTTATTCACATCAATCACATCGTTATGAAATTGCTGTCAGTTATGCTTCAATCAATCATTTACAAAGAAATTCAGAGTTGTTGATTCATCTTTGAATTAGTTTTTAAATAATTGAATTGAAACTAACTGACAGCAATTTCGTATAACAATGTGAATAAGTATTTGATTAACTTTATTTTAATGTAGATACCAATTTTTCCTTGAGTGTAGCGCCGTTATTATATGATAATTTTTTATTTTTATTAGAAGAAAAATACATTAAAATACATTAAAATAAAACAATCCTCGAACGATCGCGAAAAAAGTTGTATCCTGCTTTTCTAATTTCAGTATCAGAATTAATTTGTATTATTCTTTCATCAATTTTATCTATTTTTTTATTTTGAGACAAATCTGATCATTAATTTAACTCCTCAGCACAATTCAATTTCTGAATATTTTTATTTATATGGAGAAATGGATTATTAGACCGAAGATCGATTTTTTGACGTTAAACTTTTAAACTAAAGATTTTTCTTCCCTTGCTTGGATTTCCGACTTGTTACAATAGCGACTGAAGATTTAACGTGTTTCAAGTCAGCAGAATTAACTGCTGTTAACAGCATGTTAACAGAACATTAACTATTTTCTTTAAATTAAAGTATAAATATACACTTAGGTACATTTGTACTTAAAATTTGATGAAAGCAAGAAAGACCTGTTACTGCATTGAACTGTACTAACATTTTCTCAAACTATAACATTATATACATTAGTTCAGCTACAAAGAACAAACCAAATAACAACAGGTCTCTAGTCTGCTTATTGGGCAATCAAACACAATTGATTTTTACCTGAGGATCCAATCAATTATATTCAACTTGACAGCACTTGACGAACAAGCTAGCTGCTTTGTCTTTGAGAATGTGTCTAATGATAAAAGACTACGTGGAGATTTCTTTCATTTTTTTTTTTTACAAAAGACCTATAGTCGTATTTTTGAACAATACCGCATCAAAATAAACGAAAATATTATGGTAGTATAAGAGTATTATAATATAAGAGTATTATGTATATTATACGTAGTTAAATGGAACGCTTCCAGCGTTGACCTATATAATTTGTAAAGTATTCAATGAAAAAATATTTTATTATAATGTTTTAAAAAGGTCTTGACATCAGCCATACATGCTGAACATGAAATAAAAAATTAGGGTTTCCATTAAAAAAATGTTAGATAATCTTGGCTTTAAGGACATCTTCTCTAGGTCAACCAAAAGTTTTTCACTCACTTTCTTTCCCTTTAGTAACTAAGCAACTATTGTTTAAAACATTTTTTCGTATCTTTCATATTTTTCGAAATATTTCAATATATCACTTAAAATGACTATGTATAATAAATGTAATTATCGTTCAATTAATTATTAAACAAAAGACTAGACGGTATGAATTAGGGTGAAGTTCTCTATTATAGGATACCTTTTTTTAAGGACTTGTAATTTAATTTCTAACCTTAACTTCTACGTCAAATTTATGGAAAATATATTTAAGTTTTATCGCCAAAAGTTAGCAATCCATAATAGTTATACTTTGTTGTATGTGAAATTTTTCATCAAAAGTGCCGATTTTGCTCATTCAAAAGAAAAGATTTTTAATGTGAGACACAAGCGTTTCCTTATATTACATGAGATGGTATCTCATAACAGGAAGTTGTAAAAAAATAAAAAGCTTTTTATACATGCTTCTATTATACTACATAAAAGTAGAAACAAAGAATTTTAAATTTTAATATCATACATAATAATTATTATATATAATTTTTCGGTCTGCATGCGTACGTGCGCGCGCGCGCGCGTGTGTGTGTAAAATTTTAACAATAAAAGAATCGACATTTTCAACATAGGTATCGTTGAAAAATATACTTTGGGATATTGAATCGTTTAGAATGTTTAGAATGTTCTCATATTATTATAGAAATAGTATCTCGTACTATGACTTTCACGCTTTGCAGTTTCATCAAATCTAATTTTTACAATTAAACAAATTATATCACGTATTTTCCTATCAATACGATCTTCATTGCATGCAAATTTTATTACCAAATATTTATTTTGATATAATAAAACAAAATTTAAGAGTAATCTCAAAATTTGACAACATCCAATTTCACAAATCTTTTATTGCAACAGTTACACGCATGATTTAAAAAAGCATTTTTCATTAAATAGATTTCGATCATTTACTCGAAGAGTAAAAAATGGTTCCAATCACATACGCTTATTAGTAGAAATCCCGCTATCTCATATTAGGAGCCTATCCCATAATAGGCGACTTTATCCTATTAGTGCTTACATTTCGATGTAAATTATGTGTGTGTGTGTGTGTATGTGTGTGCGTGTGCGTGCGCGTG